GTTATTTTCCTCTTCATCATCATCATCAGCCTGTATTCGTCCACTGCTGGACATAGGCCTCTCCTATGGCACGCCACTGAGCTCGGTCTTCAGCTCTTCTCATCCAACCACTGCCAGCCACCTTGCAGATGTCGTCACTCCACCTAGCTGGAGGGCGCCCTACACTGCGTTTGCCCAGACGCGGTCTCCACTCTAGAACACGTTTACCCCAACGGTTATCGGTTCTTCGACAAATGTGACCGGCCCACTGCCACTTCAGCTTACTGATCCTTTGGGCTATGTCGATAACTTTGGTTCTCTGTCGGATCACTTCGTTTCGGATTCGATCCTTCAAAGAGACTCCGAGCATAGCCCTCTCCATAGCTCGCTGCGCGACCTTAAATTGGTGGACCAGTCGCACTGTCAGTGTCCACGTCTCGGCTCCGTATGTCATTACTGGAAGGACGCACTCGTTGAAGACTTTTGTCTTCAGGCTTTGCGGTATCTGAGACGAGAAGACTTGATTAAGTTTTCTATATGCTGCCCAGCCAAGCTGTATCCTTCTACGGGCCTCCTTTTCGAAGCTGTTCCTACCAAACTGCAGGGTTTGTCCTAGGTAGATGTATTCCTGAACGACTTCGAGAGGCGACCCGTTGAGAACAATTGGCTCCGGAATGACATGTTCATTGAACATTATTTTTGTTTTGTCCAAATTCATCCGGAGCCCAATGCGCGCGGAAGCATCAGCCAGGCTGCACAGCATATATTGCAAGTCCTGAACGGTTTCAGCCACGATGACGATATCATCTGCAAATCTCAAGTGTGAGAGATACTTGCCGTTTATGTTTATGCCCCGTCCTTTCCAATGCAGTGTCTTGAACATATCCTCCATAGCATTTGTGAACAATTTGGGGGATATAACATCCCCTTGTCTCACTCCTCGATGCAGGTGAATAGGTTCAGACTGCTGATTTTGTACTTGGACGGCCATAGTCGCAGCTTCGTACAGTTCTCTCAGCACTTGGATATATCGCCAGTCGACTTGGCACCGTTGTAAGGACTCCAGAACAGACCAGATCTCGATAGAGTCAAAGGCCTTCTCATAGTCCACGAACGCCAAGCATAGAGGCCGATTATACTCCTCGGTCTTCTGTATAATCTGCCTCATCGTGTAAATGTGGTCCATGGTGCCATATCCTCCTCGGAACCCGGCCTGCTCGGGGGGCTGAAACTCATCAAGCCTTCGTGCGAGACGATTCGTGATGACCCTGGAAAACAGCTTATAGATGTGGCTCAAAAGAGAAATAGGACGATAGTTCTTCAAAAGGGTTTTATCTCCCTTTTTGAAGAACATAACGACAATGCTTCTGCTCCACACCCTAGGAGTTCTCCCCGTGAAGAGGACGGAATTAAATATACTTTGGAGCCGCTCGAGAATCGGTTTTCCCCCTGCCTTAAGGAGCTCCGTCGTAATTCCGTCCTCACCGGGGGCTTTTCCATTTTTAAGCTGCCCCAAAGCCACCCCGATTTCGTCTTGGCTGACCTCTGGCAGCTCTTCAGTGAAGTGGCGGACAAGTGTGGCCCTGGGATCCCCCGAGTATGATTGAGGTTGGGGTGCTTGTGACGCATATAGATCACCGTAGAAGCGCTGAACCTCCGCAAGAATCTCCGGCCCAGAAGCGACGACTTTTCCCTCAGATGTAGTCAGCTTCGTCAGATGGCTTCGACCTAGTTGCTGGATGAAAACTTTTGACCCCCGATTTCGCTCGATCGCTTCTTTTATAGCGCGTGTGTTGGAGCACCGAAGGTCACGTCTTACCTGCTTCGAGATCTTTCTATTAAGATCCGACGAAGCGACTGCTGGGTTTTCACGGCGCCTCTTCATCAGCTGCAGAGACTCACCCGAAAGCCCCGCCCTCCTGCCGGTATTTTGCGCCCGCCACATTTTCGTCCCCTCATCTCGGAGTATCCCGACCATTTGGTCGAGTTTTTGGTCAATATCAGCGTCTATTGTGGTTTCCAAGACAGCGAATCGATTTTCCAGTTTGAGCTGGAAGCTTTCGGACCCGACAACAGTTTGGAGCAAATTAGGTCGGAGCGTAGACTTCATAAGACGGGCACGCTCGAATTTGTGTTCGATGTTTAGAGTGCCTCGTACCAGTCGGTGATCACTTCCTGTGTTGAACCTATTGATCACAGAGACATCTCTAAATATTCGCTTTTTGTCCGTCATAATGAAGTCTATCTCATTTTTAGTCATAGTGTCGGGGCTCCGCCACGTCCACTTCCGTTGAGGCTGCTTCTTAAAGAAGGAGTTCATCAAGAATAGCCCCTCCTTCTCCAGGAAGTTGACGAGCATTTGCCCCCTATGGTTCCTGCTACCAAACCCGTGTGGTCCTATTACCGATTCGCCGCTAATATGTACTCCCACTTTTGCGTTAAAGTCCCCCATGACAACGTTGAAGTGGGCCTTTTGGGTGGTATGCAAGGCCCTAGAAATGTCCTCGTACATTTCCTCTACTTCTTCGTCCGTATATGTCGAGGTAGGGGCGTACACTTGGATGACTTTTAGGTTATACCTCTTAGTAAGTTTTATCACAAGGTACGCTACCCTAGTCGACACGCTGGAGATCTCCAAGACGCTGTCTGAGAGGGATTTGTGGACCAAAAACCCGACGCCGCCTTGAGATGGTTGGTCCCCTTCCCTAAAATACATGAGATGGCCAGACTTCAAGGTCACTGTGTCCTCCCCCTGTCTTCGGACTTCAGACAGCCCCAGAATATGCCACCTCATGCTCCCCAGTTCCACCTCGAGCTGAGCCAGGTGTTCTTCGAGCCGTAGCGTGCGTCCGTTGTACGTAGCCAGGGTCAGTTGGTGTTGTCGGCCTTTCGTAGCCCGGGGATTCTTAGCACCCCCTGTCCCGCCGTTACCATGGCCGCCGACTTGGCCAGGAATAGCGGGGCGACCGGGAACTAGGGGCCGTTTTTTGAAATGCCGTGCCATATAAGGTAATGCCCATAATCACCACGCTGGGCAGGCGGGTTGGTGATCGCAGGGCGTAGCTCCTCGCACTAGTGACGCTGCTCCCCGTCACTAGTCTGAAATTTTGCTACGCCTACTTAGCATGGTTATTCCGCCATGTGTCGGTCGCCAGAGCCTCGTCCGTTAGTCAGCAGGATGTACCACGAGCAGGTGAGGTTGACTGGGGCACTGAGATGGTGTTGTGCCCCTTACACCCCCTCTTATTATTGCTTATATCTATCCTCTAATTATTGCTTATACCTATCTGTTATTAATATTCTTCTCTAAGTCTTTTAATACGTTGGTGAAAAGATAACGATAACAAATCCTATCTTTAAGTACCTACTTAATTTCTTTTATTTATTTTATCTGCTTTCTACGCATACAATTTCTCGTAATTCATTGCTCAGATAATACAAAAAATGAATCATCTAGAAAAATAAATATCCAATCTTAAAACGTTTTAATAAAATTCTAAATCTTCGTCGATCCATTAAATATTTAAGTTAAGCCTAAAATCCTTCTAATCCTTAAGGATTGTTCGTCAAAAAAACAGTCGGATTACTTCTCGAAAATCGTTTTTAGAATCTGATTTCAGTGATCTTCTTATCCCTTATTTATTTGTTTATCCTTTTTAAATTGGTTTTTCGATAATTTCATGTTATTTTTTTATTTTACAGAAGCACTTTTGCGAAATTCAGATTCAAGTCGACGTCAAAGCATTTATTTCAATTAAACCATAATTTGGTACTTTGAAACGTCAGCAAATACAAACTAAATAATAGTCTGTCAATCTATCAGTCAGTTAAGCTAGGTGCTCGTTCCAAAATGTAGATTGAAATGGAGAAAAAAGATCAAGAAACTCCATTCGTTACTCTTTTAATTTAACCTTATATCGTTCGTTTTAAATATCAATTATAAATCTACCAAACAAATTATAATTATGATGCTATCGCACCCCAGCGTACTAGCATTCACTACCTGACCACTAGTTACTGATGTTGGACCCATTGAAATAAGCTGCCAATAAATTCTGCGATAAAACAGTGTAATAATAAAAATGTCTGCAGCGTGAGCGTACCTAAGAGCAAAAATAGTTTTTCCTCAAGAGGGTAAGCAGGCAGGGGTAAATAATCAATAACACGCATTCACTAAAATGACGGGGAGAACCTTCGAACAGGGTCTAGCTTTTTAGGGAGAAAGACTAGAGAGTGTGGAATTCGTACCCCACTAAAACACCCCGGTGGCCACCTTCAGCATCTGTATGGGATTTACTGAAACGAACTACCATATTAACAAAACAAATTATAAAAGACTAAAGAGTATTTTTATTAAATTTTAGTACAAAAAGTTACCCCACGTGTTTGGTCTAAAAATAGCTCAACATAGCAAAACTGTCCACATTTATATTTCTGCTATACACGTGCTGTATACCGGTGCATAATTTCCTTCATTACTTCCTTTCCTCCACACGTGTCGTGTAGTTCACTTTATATGCTCGTATATTTACGTCCATTTCATATATTACTGTGAAGCGAAGCATTTTGTTTAAAGAATATTATGTAAATGCTGCCTGAACTCGTTTTAATTACGATTTTATTTCCGAATATAATATTGTTTTAAAATGAATTTCGCACTGTCTGTTGGAGCTTATATATAGTAAAGTTTTTACTCAATGTTTTTCTACGGGGGTTTGATAAACGGATTAACTAGACAATCCATTGTGTTAACATGAGTTGAACCTCGGTTCTTACGATCAAAACGAATGCTACTGCATGTACTGTAATGCTATAGTGTCTTTGATTTCAAACATTTTCTATTGTATTTTCTTTTATTTATAGGAGATTCGGAATACATATTCGTACGTTTTTGGTGACGCAATTTGAAAAAAATTTGGTTTTTGGTGGAACATCACGACAAGAATGACTTAATCTATTTAAGTATTAATCTCCATCATTGTCATTAAAACCAATACTAATATTCCACTCGTTTGTTCCAGGGCTGCTGTCATGGGACGCAGGAGAGCACCAGGTCGACCTGGAGAAGGAGTTATCCACCCTCACGGCGCAGGCACCCGAGGGGGAGGAAGCTCGCTATGGTACGTACCTCTTTACTTAACAATTTCTTAAAAAAGGATCAGCAACGCACTTGTGACTCCTCTTGTGTTGTGGGTATCAATAATACAGCCGGGTAAAAAGTCCACATTATTATTATTATGTGTGTAGATAAAAACATAACATCATAATATCTCGCCTTTTATTCCCGAAGGGGTAGGCAGAGGTGCACATTATGCTACTAAACAATGTAACACCCACTTTTCACTATTTGTGTTATGAGTCCCATGTAATAGGGGGTGAGCCTACTGCCATATACCGGGCACAATTCCAGACTCCGTGCTACTGCTGAGATTTTTTTAAAAACCTAATAATACTTTGCTCGACCCGAGAATCGAACCCGAGGCCCCTTGTCCGGGAGTCGCACTTCAACCACTCGGCCAACGAGGCAGGCATCAAAAACTTCAACAATATTTTACCCAATTAAAACGCAATATTTCACACAAATATCAAGAAAGATTCCACGAGCTATTTATGCTGTTCACTATTTACCGGTTGAAATTAATTACAAATGAAGAGATGTAGTGTCCATGCATCAAATGAACACTACATGTAATGAGACTCTTGAACAAAATGAACTAATTGATTGGTTTCCAAAGCAATTATTGACGAACTACTGTAATTATGAACTGACAGACATGCTACAGTTTGATTCAATTTAACACTGAAATGGCATGTAATGAAATGATGTTGGTTTCGTAAATAACAACAGTATTCTGTACATATTGTGTGAAGTTTTCAGTAAATAAAAAGTAAAAATGAAGACATGATTTTTATTAATTTTTTACATATATTCGAATCAATATTTTGATAGTTTAATGTTGGATATCATTTTCGATACTTGGTGCCTTTCCGGTTTTTAATCAACATGATATAATATTAATACAACTTGTAAGAAACAAAAAATATATATATAAGTAAAAAATACTTAATTTAACACGTTAAACGCCATGGGGGTCATCGGTGACCGGCGTTAGCGGAGGATTTACCTTCAACGGTTTTTTATTGGCAGTCAAAGTCTTAAATTATCTTTTACCTAGACTGCTTCGTTCGCCGATTGGTCGCTAGTGCGACTGCCGGGCAAGGGGTATCGGGTTCGACTCCCGGGTCGAAGTCTACCAAAGTATTAATGGGTTTTTAAAAATGTCAGTCGTAGCACGGAGTCTGAAAATGTGCCCGGTATGTAGCAATAGACCCTATTACATGAGACTCATAACATAAATAATGTAAAGTAGATGTTACATTGTACAGTGGCATTAAGTGCCATAATGTGCACCTCTGGCTACCCCTTGGGGATAAAAGGCGTATTGTTATGTTGCCTAGGTACAGTAACAACGTCTCGATTTACTACTATAATTGACAGCAATACTCACATCTGCCAAAAACCAACAAAAGAAACTCCTGGAATTTGCTAACAAAAGTGGCATTATGTCTCGTCTTGTCACTTATCCACCGAATGTTACCCTTATGAGGTTGAATCCAATAGATATTGTGACACGTGTATGGAAGGTTCGGTTTTATTTCGTAAGATTTGTGACAACGAATGTCATGTTAGACTAGAGGTTGTTTTCTGAAGCATAATACGATTTGGGTATCGATAATTAATGTTTTACGCAATCCTGTTCAACTCATTATGAATTATGGGCATCCAGTATATAGCTATACACAACAAAACACCAAATTTTATGCAAATATTATTCCAATATTAGTATTAGTTATGTCGTGGTGGCCCGGAGGTTTAAGACGCCAGCTTTTCATGCATGCGCGGGTTCGAAACCTACCAACGGCAAGTACCGATGTGACTGTTTCCGAGTTATTAGATTAAATATTCTTTCTAAAACTATTTAGACACCATTGACAAACAGTTAAGGAGAATATCGAGAGGAAACCTGGACTTATAATTTCTAATTATAAGTTTGAAATCGCCAACTCACATTGAGCAAGCGTGGCTATTAATGCTTAAAACTTCTCCGTGTGAGAAGAGGCATTTGGTCCCCAGTGGCCATTTATAGGCTATTGATCTGATGGTGTGATTAATTAAACAAAGTCAAAGCATTTATTTCAATTAAACCGTAATTGGGTACTTTTGAAACGATTTGGTAGGCTTTTGAAACGGAACGGAATCTTTTAAATATATAAATTCCACCAATACATTTAAATTCCAAAGTTGTCAATATTATAATAAGTAGAGCAACATGTTGTACATAAAACTGTACATTTGACCAACAAACCTTTACAAAACCACAACACTAGTTGTGAACTTTGTCCATTATTTTCTGTTTATTTCAATTTAATATCGAGGTACTCTGCAACCACTAAACCCTCGCGGTGTTCACAAACAACACGCAACATAAAGGGCTTACAACTTTCTAAATTAAATTTTCATAACAATACAACACTATTTAAAAGTTATCAAATCAGTTTTGATTTTGAAGATCACATACATATTATATTTTGTTTTTTTTTTTAAACGTTGCACCAAACTAGGATTTTCTCCTGTGTCGTGGGTGCGTTTACAAACATACAAGTTCACATACACAATGACACCCAAACCCGGAACAACAATTTGTGGATCACACAAAGAGTTGCTCCGTGCGGGAATCGAACCCGCGACACGTTGCATGGCAGCCAGTTGCCCAGCCACCGCACTAACCGTGTTGACCGTAAAATTCTGTTTGGTGTCTTTAATTTGTACATAACATAACATCACTCTTTTTATCCCCGAAGGGGTAGGCACTTAATGCCACTATACAATGTAACACCCACTTTTAACTATTTATGTTATAAGTACCATGCAGTGGCGTGCACACCATACATGCAAATAAGCACTGCATACCCTACAAAATCATGGTAAACCTACATAGTCAAATACATAGTGTCACTCATAAACACGACATGAATATTCACTAACATCATACAGAGATTTCGTAATTTTATTGATACTTAATTTGGAAAACTGGTAACTACGCCATCTATCGAAAAAATATTGAAGTACTACGACCACTTTCTACTTTCTTCGATATATTGAAGCATTGCGCCAGTGGCGCCGCCACCTCGCTATTGTGTGATGGTGGCGGAAGCATGTACTAATACGTAGCCGGTACAATTTGCTTGTTTTCTCGTGCTGATGTTGGATTTTTTTTTTGTTAGGTTGGTAATTTCTATACAACTGCAAAAGCACTGCTTCTTTGGTATCCGACTAATTTAAGAAGTCAACAAAACGTAGCGTTTGTTGATTGAAAATAGATATATTAATTTTGGTCAACTTATTGTTTACGTTTTTTTTGGCCATTTTGTTTTGGTTATTTTTATGTGCAAGTGAATAAATTGTAATGTAATGAATTATAATTTAAATGAACTGTTAATTTACCGAAAATTATGTAAAATTATAGCTGTGAGCTCTGTGCTGGTGATTTGTGTTGTTCAATAAATTAAATATGAGTGCATTGTCCTTATTGTGGTTCGAAGAAGAAACGAAAATATTTCCAAAGGCGATTTTGCGTGTGTCGTATGTCCGGGCTAGGCGTAACTCAAAAAAGGTAATAATTTTATTATTTCTTTTAATAAACTACGATTTGCGATTATACGTATATTTTGTTAGCACTGGTTGTGTAACTACCAATTTCATTATTGTTTTTAAAATCCAGTCATCTTGATCTCGCTTTGTACGATTTCTCTATGAATTTAACGGTCAGTATATACTGGTGTCGCATAGCTTGATGTGTAGCCATTTGTACTTCGCCGCTCCAAAGTAGGTACCTACCTAGTTAGATTTGTAAAATAGATACCTAGGTATTTATGTTAATCAACTATATACACGGATAGTTTGAAAATAATTATATAGGTACCTAATTTGTTTATACAAATTAATAAAATACTTACTAAACCTAATTACCTACTCAAAATTATGATGTTTCGGGAGTTTTATTTTCCGAGATTAATGTAGACCAAATTTTTTTAAATCATGCCTTCTGCCTACCCTACTTCAAATCTCTGTGCACGCCCCTGGTACCATGTAATAGGGGTTGACAATTTCAAACCCTGTGCTACAACTGAGATTTAAAAAAAAACCTTTTTTTTCATTGCCCAACCCCGGAAATCGAACCCGAGACCCTTTGCCCAGCAGTCGAACTTACTATCACTCGGCCAACAAGGCAGTCTTTAATTTACAATTTACTAATTAATTAGTTATTGTTTTCCTGTTCTCTACAATACTCTACATCAAACCCTCTTGGGAAAGTACTTATTTTTTTCTTTTACACATTGTCAAACAGTTATAATAAACTTAATAAGGAAGAGATAGAAAGTATAATGTGTAAAAAAATACGTTTTAATCTCATGTGTTTTGTTTACATACCTATTAAAAGACTTACGATAGACAGAGTATTTATCTTTTCTATTTTAATATACCCAGACATAACATACTCAAACTACAGTAACATGTTATCTGATAGTTAAAACAATATCTCAAATAACTAATATAGGAAAGACTAATGAGCCAGCCCGACATTGCGTAGGTTGTAATTCTGAAAACAAAATGTCTAGTTTCATTGTAATTAGACGCTCTTATTACGATATTCTGATAATATCATATATGTTTCAGTTCAATATTTTTAGAAATGGACATACTTCATTAATCAGATTATTAATAACTATTAGACAGACTTTTACGTTACACCACCCACTTTTCTCCTTTATGTTATAAACAGTAAAAATATTGACAAAAACAGTTCCAGCCTCCAAGCAGCCATCACAAGTTTTGAAATAAAACGTATTCATACTACACCTTGTTATATTAGCTAAGATAAAAGGCGGACGTAGTCTCTCGAAACAACATCTGTGGCACCTGGCTACTATAGACTTACACGCACAATACACACATATTGACACGAAGGACATCATTTTCTTAAGTCTAGTAACGTTACACACGCATTTTATAAATGAACCACTGACATTGTGGTGCTACAATCACTTCTAAGTGACA